TGGAGGGGTTCCTAGAGGAGTTGGGGTGACCTTGAGTGGGCAGGCCGAGAGGCCAGGGTGCCCCCAAGGGATCAGCTGCCTTTGGCTGGTGTTTCTGAGTTAAGACCAAGTATACACAGAGGAAGGTCTTGGCTCCCACAAGCAGAATAGGAATTCCACCCGATTCATTTATTTGGTGACACTGTTTTGCATTTTGAAAATCTGTGGTAGCATTTTCTTTTCCTGAACTGTGGTGCCATCACCAGGAGCTGGGACTGGGGTGGATTCCTGTTGGACGCCCCTTGTGTTTCTCTGGTGTCCTGTGTTATTGCGCACGCAGGACCTTTCCACATTTTCCCTCCTGGGCATGTGATGGCATGGGTGGTGATGCTTCTCCCGCTCCTTCCTTTGCTGCTGTCCGCTCAGCTCACATTTGGTGCACACAACTTCCGGGAACTGGAAAGCTATAGAGGGTAATTTCATGACTGGGGTTCCCGTTTATCTAGGGGTGCTCCAAACAGTGGAGCGAGTGTCTCCCATGATCTGGGAATGTCTGCCACAGAACGAGAGAAGCAGACGGTCCCAAGGCAGTGGCAGGCATCCCTCCCTCTCAGTGTGCCCTGGACACCGTCGCCACAGTTCCCCGCTGTTAACAGGCTGAGGCTGCGGGCCACGTGCCCCACTCGAATGCGAAGAAACAAACTGGGAGATAATGTCTTCAAAGGAAGCTGGAAGGGAGATGGCTACTGAAATTTTCACCCACGATTTAAAGGTGCCCCTCAAAAAACATCCAAATCACCAGATGTAGTCTCTGAAGAGTGGAGGGGAGGATATACACTTCCCTCCCTGGGGAAGCAGGAAGTGTTAGGAGGCAGCACGCAGGTGACTCTCTCGGTCAATGAAAGTCTCAACTTGGAGAATTTTGAAATCACCACTGCCTGGGAGTTGAGTCCGTGGAGTTCCTGGGGGTTCCCGAGCGTGGAACACCAGCTCGGGCATCCTTGATTGCTGCTTCTAGACCTGAACCATGGGGGCCAACTCTCCCAGGGGCCAGGAGACTGAAGCCACCCGCAGCCTTGCCTGCAGCTTCCCAGACAGAAGAGAGCAGGGGCAGGGGGCTCCACCCTGCTCTGTGCAGCCAGTGGAAACGTAATCTCCTTGACAAATTCCTACTTGATTTGATTTGACCTAGTTGCAGATTTTTTTTTTTATCTAATAATGAGAAAAATAAGATCTTTTTTTTTTTTTTTTTTTTTGAGATGGAGTTTCACTCTTGTTGCCCAGGCAATGGCATGATCTTGGCTCACTGCAACCTCTGCCTCCTGGGTTCAAGCGATTCTCCTGCCTCAGCCTCCCAAGTACCTGGGATTACAGGCGCCCACCACAATGCCCAGCTAATTTTTTGTATTTTTAGTAGAGATAGGGTTTCACCATGCTGGCCAGGCTGGTCTCCAACCCCTAACCTCAGGCGATCCCCCTGCCTAGGCCTCCGAAAGTGCTGGGATTACAGGCATGAGCCACCGCGCCCAGCCAGATTATTTTTATTTTAAACAAACGGCAGTTTGAATCACATTGAAGGCCGTGAACAGAATGACGCGAAGTAGCAGGTCTGTCAGGAAAGCCGCCGGCTGCCTCTGGCTGCCTAAAGCCAGTGGTCTCAGCAAGCCACAGTCGCTAAGGAGGCTCTGAAGTGCTGTGCGTCCAGGCTCACTGGAGCTGTGCTTTTCGCATCACGGGTCACTCTACTCCTGAGTGAGGGATCGAGTCTTTTTAGGGTCTCAACCAGCATTTTACAGAATGAAACACGTAGTATAGAACAGAACGAAAACGACCAGAAGACACTGCACCTAGCTCACGTGTTCCCTCATGAAAACGCCGTTTCCTATGTGTATAGTGTGCGTGTTCCATGTCACCAAAGTGTAAAGGTCCTTGTACGCCACAGTTGGAAGGAAAAGAAAGTGACCGTGCAAGAGTGGCTCGGGAGTTTGTGGGGAGGGCGATTTGTAGTTCAGCTCATCCTTACTGGGCGTGATGAAAAGGAAAGCCCTGAGCTGAGGGAAGCAGAGGCTTTCTGAGGATGCGACACTGAGCAGCATTTTAGAAATGCAATTCCTTTCGCCCTTTCCACAGGGCTCTGTACATTCTGTCATCTGTGCACAGGAAGGGCCATGGCTGGTACCAAGTCACTTCGGATGGAAGGCAGTTTCCAATATTGCTGTCATTCTACTTCCCGGTTCCTTCCGCGGACACTGGGGATAAAGGAGAATTCCTTTTCTTCCTTAGGGCAGCAACAACGCATTAAAAAGATCCTCAAATGGCAAGATAAAAGTACCCTTTTCTTCTCCATATGGGGGGCCTGAAATGAAAATTAATGCAGCAGAAGTATTTGTTACAAGTAAGTTTTAAATCTGATTGACTGGAACCTCTGCTTGGGCTACTGAATGAATGAGTTAGTGACCTAATTGGTCTTGTTTCCAAAAAGCCACACCTAGATTCAGGCAACAGCCCCGCCTCACTCAAGCAGGAGAATCGCGTGAGCCCTGAATTTGCAATGAATGGGGATGGCCACTGCGCAGGAGCCTGGGCGACAGAGGGAGACTCCGTCCCTACATAAATAAATACATCAGTGCTGTAAACCTTTGTATATGGGTTTTGTGTGGACCGAAGTTTTCATGTTTCTCGGGTAAGCAGTGAGCAGTGGAATCTGTGGGTAATAAGACAGCCTTGTTTACCTGTAGAGAGGCCAGTGGCTTTCCAAAGTGCCGGCGCCATTCTGCGCTCACACCAGCAGAACGCGGCAGAAGGTGCTCTCAATCCGTAGTGGTTGGTTTTGGCAGGTTTAAAAAAAATGCAGGCCAGGGGCGGTGGCTCACGCCTGTAATCCCAGCGCTTTGGGAGGCCGAGGTGGGCGGATTGCCTGAGCTCAGGAGTTCGAGACTAGCTTGGGCAACACAGTGAAACCCCGCCTCCACTAAAACACAAAAGATTAGCCGGGCCTAGCGACGTGCGTCTGTAGCCCCAGCTACTCAGAGGCTGAGGCAGGAGAATCGCTTGAACCCAGGAGGCGGAGGTTGCAGTGAGCCGAGATCACGCCGCTGCACTCCAGCCTCCAATAAATAAATAAATAAACAAACAAACAAGCTCTTTTAATAGATGGGTTGCAGTTTCCCATATGGTTCAATTTGCTTTTCCCGAATGATGACTTCCATGAGCATCTTTGCCCTCCACATACCCTCTTTGGTGACCTGTCTGTTCGAACCTTCTGCTCATATTTTAAACTGGGTTTTCTTATGATCAAGTTCTGATAATTCTTTTTATAAAGTGAATAAAAGTCCTTATCAGATATGTGCTTTGCAAATGATTTTCTTCCAGTCCCTGGCTCGTCTGTTCATATTCCTAAGCGTCTTTCAAAAAGCAGAAGTTTTAAATTCCGATGAAGCCCAGTTTTTCAATTTTTGTGTGTGTGTTGGGGGGGGGTGGTTATATTTTTAGTGTCCCGAGTAATCTTTGTCTAACCCAAGGTTGACAAGATTTTCTTCTAGACGTTTCATGATTTTAGGTTTTACATTTAAGTATGATCTATTTTGAGTTAATTTTTAGTATGGGTCACAGCTCATATTTTCATTAAAATTTTTTTCTGATATAAAATGTAGTTCAGGCTCATTGGAGAAAGCATAAAATGGAGAAAGTAGTAAAATTACCCACAGGTCAGCCATAAGTGAGAACCACTTACAGTGTATCTCCCTCCCCCCCTCCCTCGCTCTCTCTCCCTCTCTCTCTTTCTTTCTTTCTTTTCTCTTTCTTTCTCTCCTCTTTCTTTCTTTCTTTCTTTCCTTCCTTCCTTCCTTCCTTCCTTCTTTCTTCTTTCTTTCTTTCTTTCTTTCTTTCTTCTTTCTTTCTTTCTTTCCTTTTTTTTNTTTTTTTTGAGATGGAGTCTCACTCTGTCACCCAGGCTGGATGCAGTGGCACGATCTCAGCTCACTGCAACCTCTGCCTCCCGGGTTCAAGCGATTCTTCTGCCTCAGCCTCCGGCTGGCTAATTTTTGTTTTTTAGTAGAGACAGGGTTTCATCATATTGGCCAGGCTGGTCTCAAACTCCTAACCTCGTCATTCACCCGCCTCGACCTCCCAAAGTGTAGGGATTACAGGCATGAGCTGCCGTGCCCGGCCTTATCTCCCTCTTTTATGTGCAGTGCGTGCTTTCACGTAGCGCAGCCTGTACTATACTGCCAGTAAATTGAAGTCTCTTTTAATGATTTTCTTACTCCCAAAACAAGCTTGTTGCATAAAACTTAAAAACATAGATAAGCAAAAGAATAGCATGAAAATATCATTAATCCTACTATTTAGAGAGAGCTTACCTGTATCCTTTCAAATGCTCAGCTCTGAAAGTATGTATGGGCATTATTTTATTGACTAAATATATACAGTCATATAAATATAATTTAGTTACTATTCTTTTGCAATGTTTAGAATGTGTCCTGTGTTTTACTGTTACATGTACTGTTGGAGTGAATAATCTTGACTGTGTATTTTGGATTTTAGATTTTTTTCTTCAGTTACAGTCCCAAGAGTGTTGCTAATAAGCCAAAGACTATGAACATTTTTAAAGCGTCTGGGTCTCTGGCTCCATTTTCCCTCAGAAAGGTTGGATCAATTTATTTTCTCTCATGTGGGATTCATTATTAATACATTTTGGTGTGCAATAATTTGATTGTAAGCCATGACATCTCAGTGGGTTTTTTTGGACTTGATTGCTGCTGAGGTTAAACAGTTTTTCCAGTGTTCGCTATCCTTTGTGACGGCTTCTTTTGCGAGTTCCCTGCTCTTCCTTTAACTATAAGTGAGCGTCTCCGTAGGGGGCATACTCAGGCGTGTTCACCTTCAGATATAAAACATCACAAAGTCCTGTCAGCTCGACATTACCACTTAGTATAATGTGCAGGAGAGACAAGGAAAATGTATTTCTATCAATCTTGGTGTTGTTGGCTTCCTGATTTTCTGAAAAATAGGAGAGACAAAGTAGATTTTTTGACCTTTGAATTCTTCAATTACCATGCCAAGCTTTCAGGACAATTAAGACGTAAATATTCTTTACATAGAATCTTAGCCTTCTTAATCCCTGATTGAGGCTTTGCGCAGCAGGAGCGTGGTGGTGTGCAAAAGCACTGTCTCAGAGGACGCAAACGTGTTAATAAAAGGTGAGTTGTCAGATGTGTTTGGAAGGAGAATCACGAAGAGAGAACATAATTTGCCTTTCGCAGGTGTCCTGCCGATATCACGGCGGGCATCGAACGCCCCTTGAGCTCCGGCTTGGTTTCTGCTGTCTGTGAGCCTTGGTGCTGCCATCTGCTGGGCGTCCTCGGCACTGCGTGTGAACGGCTCCTGAGAAAGGACCAGCTGTGGAACACGGGCTGAAATGATGCGATGAGGGTTTAAGGTGTTTTCCATTTCTGGATAATATGTAATGCGATGTATGAGCATATATTGTTAAATATGACCTGTTGATCGATTCAAAATGGAAGAAATGCTCCAAAACAATCCAAATTTACAGTGTGATTCTCTCATACTGCTTCTGCAACAACTTTGATGGGGATGGAGGTGGTGGTGAGGATTACAAGGAAAAGCTAGACGTCTTGTTGACATTATGTAAAGGGTTAGGGTTAGCAGAGTTGGCCAGGCTTTTCGGGGATACTTGAGTAACTGGAACTCCTCAGGGAAGTCATCCCATTGAACGTTACACACTTTCTTTGTGTCATCTGTTCACAAGGAAATCGGAGGTGGGGCAGGAAATTCAAACCAGGCTGGGTAGATATATATTCTGCTTTAGAAAAATAGGATTTTCAAAACTCGAAATCGTAAGGTGAATAATTTAAAAGTAGCACTTGATTAATTGCATTACAAAGGAATTTTTCTGTTTGGGAAAATATGCTTCATATTTCTTTCAAATAGTTCTTTTATTCACTCAGAATAATTGGGTTAACACATTCTTCAGAAAGTCATCCATTTTGGGGGTGCAAGAATAGCAGTATCTTAAAACTACTTTGAAATGCAAGATTTTATTAATCTTTCTTATTCTTACATGCAAATTTTGCATGGGTTAAATGGTGAGAGTAAATGGAGATGCATTTGCAAATCAGCTTCAAACTGAAATATGACTCGTCAAATACCCTTTAGTATTTGATGAAAGATGCACATTTTTCTTTCCCTTTCTAGTCAGAAAATTTTCTTTCACAATCAATTTCCTGCTGGGAGAGCAAGAGGGCTGATCTATGGGAGCAGAACAAACCCATTTAGGCCATTTCAAAAATGCAGTACACGTGGCAAGGCCAGTCTGAGACCCAGTAAATGATTCACAGTTTAGAAAGATATGCCTGCTTGTAGATCCAAGCTCTCAACTTAATAGTTTATTTGGTCTAAGTTTGTATTCTCATTAGGAGCTCTCAGTCCATCAAACGGCTATTGGGAAAGAAAACCAAACAAAATCAAAACGAGCTTTGGGAACCAAGCCTCGGCGTAAGCCTGGGCTGTCACTCTCCACCCCACGTCGCCATGCTTATGTGTTTTTAGTGCGTGAGGAGCCCTTCTCATAGGGCCTGACCACCAGCAGCCTGGATGGGACACTGAGACACAGGGTGTTCAGCACAGACACCCTCCAGCTGCCCAGTGCTGAGGGGCATTTTTGAGCTTGCTGTGGTGGTTAGGAAGAAGCCCCAAAGCTGCACACCCTGTTGGTAGATGGTTGTGTGATATGTCCGGCTGGGTGAGGCTTGGGGGACTAAGGTGATCCAGGTGGCCTTTAAGAGATTTGCAGTTGAAGAATATTTTTGGCTGATGAGTAAGTCTCAGGAATCCTGCCTGCTTTGGACAGCAAAAAGAACATTCCCCACCTTCCAGAGATGAGGTCTCAACACTGCAAACAGAAAGGAAAACTGGCAACTTCAGAAGACATCATTTTAGGGATCTGAAGGTAAATGAATATGCACATATTTTTAGATGCAAAATGTGTCTGGATGATTTTAGAACAGTTTTGCATCTCCCTTGCTTTTGAGGCTCCCGCAGATACAAAATGCAGCCATTTTCCTAAACACCTGCTTAGTTTGTTGATCTAGTTGGATGAAAGAGCAGAGCTATGAAAAATTACTCTGACAAGCATTCCTCTCATCTTCAGGCAGCAAACCATCTTTAAAATCTGATGAAAACGCTTTGAAACAAATAAAATAGCTGGATGCAGGATTCCCTGGAGAGAAACCAGGCATTTCCCCACGTTCCTCAGTTGCAAAACCAGATGTTTAAGAATGAGAAAACTGGCGATTTAAAATCTAAAACCTGAATTCTTGACTTCATTTTCCTTCTCTGCCCTCCTGCACCATTGTTTTAATGTATGCAATTTATTTCTAATAAGTGAGCATCTCTCTTGTTCCTCCCCCTAAGTTCCATGCTTTTTGGGGTCCAGGCACAGGTTGCTCTGGGGCTGCCAGGCATCTCTGCAATCAAGGAAATTGGTGCCATCATGAGTGGCCAGGAACAGCACGGGGACCAGGTAAAAGGGAGGGCGGGCTGGGGGTGTTGATACAGGAGCTAGAAAGAAATTATTTTAGGCAGGTAGTGAGGGTAATGGAGTCCTGGGAAAGCTTTTCTTTTTAACAAGAAGCAGCCCCCAAATCATTTCTTTTCTAACAAACAAAGAGCAGCCTGAAAAACCGAGCTGGCAACATAGATAAGCAAGCTGGAAGCGTGCGTGGGTGAATGCCAGCAGCTGCGCCAGCAGGAAAGGACTACCTGAGGGCACGCGTGGTCAGCCTGGAGGCTCCATCTTCCCTTCCCTTTGTCACCACTTGTACAGTAAGGAGGCAGGCAACATGGCACCAGCCAGGTAGAGAACCCACTTGCATAGTGAAACATTAGGGTGGTGGCCAGGTGCAGTGGCCCACACCTGTAACCCCAGCACTCTGCGAGGCCGAGGCAGGTGGATCACTTGAGGTCAGGAGTTCAAGACCAGCCTGGCCAACGTGGTAAAACCCTGTCTCTACTAAAAATACAAAAATTAGTCAGGAGTGGTGGTGGGCACCTGTAATCCCAGCTACTTGGGAGGCTGAGGCAGGAGAATCGCTTGAACCCGGGAGGTAGAGGCTGCAGTGAGCTGAGATGGTGCCCACTGCACTCCAGCCTGGGTGACAGAGTGAGACTCTGTCTCAAAAAAATAAAAACCAAAAGATTAGACCGGGGCGGCCAGCTTCTTCGTGCTGTGTGAATGGCACACCTAGCCCTAACCAGTTCTTTGTGTGCTATACTTGTGGCTCACCTGATACGACCAATCTTTTGTGCTCTATGTACACCAGACACTGCTGCCTCAAGCTCGTTCACAAAACCTCCTGCACCTCACCTTGGACCAGAAGACCCGCTCAGGACCCCCCTGTCTTCAGGAGAGCTTTTCTCTTTCTTTCGCCTGTTAAACTTTCGCTGCTCACTTCACTCTTTGTGTGTCCACGTCGTTGGCATGAGGCAAGGAACCTTAGGTATTACCCCAGACGAACAATGCCGCTTTGATGTCTCGGTTTGTCTGGGTTGCTGGAAGAAAGTACCGTAGGCTGAGGGCTGATCAACAACAGGGGCTGCAGAGGCTGCAGGTGCGAGGCCAGGGTGCCAGTGGCCGTGTTCTGGGGAGGGCCCTGTTCCAGGTTGCGGAGGGCCACCTGCTTGCTCTGACCTCAGTGGTGGAAAGGCTCTGAGGGCTCCACCCTCATGACCTCATCACCTCCCAAAGGGCCCCCTCCAAATACTTTCATCTTGGGGGTTAGAGTTTCAATGTAGGAAATCTGGGGTTACTGCATTCAGTCAAGTAAAGGGAAGTGGGAGTGGATGCAAACAACGCCCTCTGCCTCCCGGCATGGCCATATCCACGGGTCTCCATGCCTTCCTCCTCCCCGCCTGCCTCTGCCTGACCTCCCCTCCCTTTCAGGCCATCCCAGAGGCTAATTTAAACCTGACCTCCCATTTAGTTTAGTCTTTGAGCATGCTCTTTTCCACCTGTTTGCTGGATGACAGCTTTTATGGCAGGGAGGGATTTGTGGTGAAACTACTTTTAATCTAAACAGTTGCGGGCATTGTGGCCTGACTGTGAAGCACAAGGTGAGGGCACTTCTGAAGAAGGAGCGGGCGTCCTAAGCCTGGCCCAGTCAGGATGTCTTGGGCTGAGGGTCTCAAGCAGGCACACAGCGGCATCTCCTGGGAGCTGTGAAATGCCTGTGTGGTACCCATCCCCCGGGGTGCTCCTGCAGCTGGCCTGGGTGCTACTGGTCTGGGTACTGCTGTCTGGGTGTAGCTGGTCTGGGTGCCGCTGGTCTGGGTGCTGCTGCTCTGAGTGTAGCTGGTCTGCATGCAGCTGGTCGGGGTGCCGCAGCTGATCTGGGCACAGCCGGTCTGGGCGTAGCTGGTTTGCGTATTGCTGGTCAGGGTGTCACTGGTTTGGGTGCTGCTGGTCTGGGTGGTGCTGGTCTGGGTGGTGTTGGTCTAGGTGCTGCTGGTCTGGGTGGTGCTGGTCTAGGTGCTGCTGGTCTGGGTGGTGCTGGTCTGGGTGCTGCTGGTCTGGGTGCTGCTGGTCTGGGTGGTGCTGGTCTGGGTGCTGCTGGTCTGGGTGCTGCTGGTCTGGGTGGTGCTGGTCTGGGTGCTGCTGGTCTAGATGCTGCTAATCTGGGTGGTTCTGGTCTGGGTACAACAGCTGGTCTAGGTGCTGCTGGTCTGGGTGCTGNTGCTGCTGGTCTGGGTGCTGCTGGTCTAGATGCTGCTAATCTGGGTGGTTCTGGTCTGGGTACAACAGCTGGTCTAGGTGCTGCTGGTCTGGGTGAAGCTGGAATGTTTAAACTTTGCAGGTGGTTCTTGTGTACAGCGAGTCTGAGAGCCTGGCCTCAGCATTGGGAGGGCAGGGGTGATCCTGGGGCCATCATGGCATCTGTCCTTGGGGCTGACTCTTGGCTCTGCCTTGGGTGGGCTCCCATGAGTTCCATGGAGAGCTAGGGTCTTGGGAGGTAGAGGCAGCAAGCAGACACAGTGCCACCAGACAGCCTAGAGGAGCTGCATTGTTTGGGGACCCATTGGATCCCCACCCTGTGCTAGGCACTAGGTGAGGTCTGAGAACACAATAGTCAGTGAGATGCAGGCCTGAGTGTGCTGCAGAAGGATATGTTGAGCTGACCAGCTGCCCTGGCCTAGCAGAAGCTCTGGCTCTCCTGGCCACCAGTTGGTGCAGGAGCGGCCATATAAGTCGGGGAGCTGGGTGCACCCCAGAACTGGCAGGGCAGTGGCAGCACCAGCTTTGTGGGGACATCTTCCTTTTAGGGTAGGGCATAGGAAGAAGTGGCTGAATGGTGTCACACTAAGTCAGATTATGAAATATCCTGTGATTTGATGCTTTTTGTGGGGACACGGGACAGAGGTACCACAAACACCTCTGCCCTTTCCGGCCTCATCAGTTCTCCTGGGATGAGGTCACAGGTCGTGGAAGGGCAGGGAGACTTCTAAGGTATCGGATGGGCCTTGGCTATGGTGATGGGAGCTAGGAGCCAATACAGACAGGGCCGCCCTCCAGTGGGCAAGTCCGCCGGCCCCAGCCCTGTTCCCTCTTCTCCAGTGCTGTGTGACTTGCTTTCCTAGTCAGCAGTTCCAGATGTTAATTTTAACCTGATGTCATGGATTTGGATGTGTCTCAAGGAGACATTTTATCCAGGGCACCCACGTGATTTGACAGTAGAGAAAGAGCCAGTGGGTCTGTCCACGGTTCCCGATGGAAAATGAGGTTGGGTATTTTTGAAGAGTTTTTGACTTAAGATTTGCTGGCCTGCCCTCCCTTGGCAAGGGACCAGAGACCCAAGCTTCTGGGTTTTGCAAAGTCTCCAATATTGAATCTAGTCCCCCATTCCTCGAGCCTCGCTTGAGAACCAGTGATGTCGCTCTTAACAAACCTGAGTGCCAGCATGTGGTTGGTAGCTTCTCTTGCAGCGTGGCCTGTAGTGTGGCAGAGAACGGAGCTATCAGTTTGGAAAACCCGGGCTCGCAGAGAGGAAGGCATGGGTGGGATGGAATTCTGCATGAGCAGGAGAAAAGCACTCCACGTTCTTGGGAGGGCAACAGCTGGGCCACTGAGCTAGAAAAGGTCATTCACGGGGGCCAGTGATTGGTCGCGATCAAAGTCAGTCATCGTGTGCCCTCCTTCCCATGTTTTGGCCTTGCAGGGTGGCAGCAGAGAACCACCAGGTCCCTCCGATGGGAACTTTCTCCCGAAAATCACAATCGTTTGTGTCCTACAGATCTAACACTTCACCTTGTTAGATGCTAGGGTTTTGTACTTTTTTTTCCTCCAGAGGTTCATTTCCTAAAATATTTGCTTTTGGGAGGAGTTTGGGTTTAGGATTGTAAATAGCATTATTTCTTTAAACCTTTTTTCAATGGACCACACTGTAAACCTGGGAGAATTTTACTATTAAAATGACGCAAAGGGTCTCTGCACCCATCTGACTTAGTTGAGTCAGTTGTTTTCAACTGTCACTCTGCATAGTGACTGAGCAAATATTCAAACTCGGCACGGCCGCTCAGGGAAATTTACATGCGTTCATGCATGGGGACGCCCAGCTGGAATACAGAAACACTCTTGAGATGTCTCCGCCTCCGTAAGGGAACTGGGTGGCCACCCAGACTGTGCAGAGATAGGGGAGTGGGGCCCATTTTAGAAAAGAATTGTAAAGTAAAATCTGTGACAGCAAGAGGTGTGACCCCAAAATAGAGACAGAAGCCTATGGGTTCATGCAGCCAGCTAGTGCCAAGTTAGAAAAAAACATTCTCGAGGTCTAGTGGTCACTTGTTTATCTGGCCTTAGAATACATGTCACAGAAGGAACGTCACTAGGACTGCTGGGGACCTCCCAGCGGCCCTCAGAGGCCCAGTCACTGGCAAACATCAGCCACGATTTATTTGTCAAAAACTATCCATATTTTCTTTCTGGGCAGTGTGGCTATTGAGAGCTCGGGGAAAGGACCAGAGGCCTGGCATCTAATCCCTGCTTCACTGCTGTGGGAACAGCTGGAGACCAGGCAAGGGACAGTGAGCAGAGGCTGTTTTCCCAGAGCTGCTCCAGCAACGGGGCCACTCCTGCACTTGGCAGAGACCCCAAGGTGGTCAGGGGATGGGTGGGCCTCATGGTGAGAAAAGGAGGTTCTCGCCTGAGCACCAGGCTGGTGCCCTGGCTGGAGGTGCTGGCGTGGGAACCTGGAGGTGGCTCAGAAGCAGCACTGCCCTTGATACAGAAGGCTGGGCTCCTGGCTGACCCCCACCCTGAAGCCTGGAACCTCGGCCCTAAGTGAAAACAGCTGACCCATTTTTCCACCTGAACACTGCCTTTTTGGCCTGCTCCGCCCCCATTGTCTGCCCATAAAAGACTTCAGCTGGGAGAGCAACACAAGCAGCTGAGCATCGAGGATACAGGCAGCTGAGCATTGGAGACTGTGGGCAGATGCAGCTGAGCATCGGAGACTGTGCGCAGATACGGCAAACTTCAGACGGTGTGGCTTCAGACAGGGCCCGGGCTCTGGGAGAGATCACCTTCCCATCCTTTTTCCAGCTTCCCTGTCTGCTGAGAGCCACCCACCACTTAGTAAAGTCTTCTGCATTCATCACCTTTCAAACAGCTCACGTGACCTGATTCTTCCTGGACACTGGACAAGAACCCAGGTAGGTGCCCAGAGGGCAGGGGCTGCCACCCTGAACCTCCACTGTGCTGGTTGGCACTTGGCTGCCTCTGGACGGCGGAGCTGAAAGAGCATCGGTTGTAACATGCTCGGACGCTGCTGTGGGGCTCTCACGGAGCCTGCTCCCACCATACAGGAGCCACTGGCAGGTTCCAGCACTGCTTTGCTCCGGTTCCCGCACTCACTCACCGCCCGCTCCCTGCTGCAAGGAGTAGCCAGGAGCAGGCTGAGCGAAACCAGCCACTCCAGTTCCCGCCCGCGAAGAGGTCAAGGGGGTGCATCATCCTGTCTTTTGGAAATAGATGTTGGAAATAGAATTTGTTGGAAATAGATGCTCAGTGCCACAAAGAAAAATTAGTACTGGGACAACGGATCTTTCTGCAATGCAGTTGTTACTTCCTGGGCTGCAGGAAGGGCACCCTCTCTAGCCATTGTGCCGCGAGCAGACAAAGAACAAAGCGGAACACACAAATTTACTTCTTGGGCATTTGGGGTGGTTCTCACTGCTGTGTCTGATCTCCGTTGGCTGGAGTCAGACCTCACAATCTAAACTAAAATCAGATTGGCTAACAACTTAAAACTTTTTAAAACAGGTAAAAGCAATGGGCAGCTCAGACATGCCTGGGAGCACGTCCAGCACAGATATCTTGGTTAAAGTACAAGGCCATAGAATGTACTACGTGCCTGTAAGCATGGCATGTCTA